AAGTTCCGACTGCATCCACAGAGAAGATATTACTGCAAAATTCTTTCACAAAGGGCAATTATGAGTAATCCCAATTGTAATATTAATTGCATCATAATAATCATTTGTTGTAGGGTTGGGCAAATCTCCCGAACCCGAACCCGAACCCGAACCCGAACCCGACAGTTCTTGTCAAATTAAATATCTGAACGAGTATCTATATTGAGAATCGACAGGTACGGTTCGACTCTCGGTTCTAGACCAAGAACCGAAAAACCGAATCTTTCTATTTTTTTATATTGAATAAATCAAATTATTTTAATTTTAATTTTTTTTAAACAAATTAACAATTTCTAAATCCAAATTTTTGACCCGATAATTTGTTTTATTTCTAATTTTTTAATTTTTGGCCCAATTACCTCTTTTATTGTCTCATTTATTAGGTCAATAAGATCCAACCCACTAAATAACTCTAAATATCTACACTAAAGTGCATAACGTTGTTTCGACTCTCGCAGTCTCGTTGACATTCCAAAACCTATACAATCGTCGACCGACGCTGTGACCTCCGATCGAACTCCTCCAACCGAAATTTTGACCGTAGCGATCATTTGAATAAGGTAGTCTACAAGTCTCTGACATTTCAAAACTATTGAATGTGTCATTAGTTGTATTTATATAATGTTGTTATAAATGTTAAAAAATTTAATTATAGTACAGAACCGAATCGAACCCAAACAGTTCCATAATTATATTTGGACCCGACGGTTCCATTTATTGAATGCCCGAAAATTTTGGTTCGGTTGGTTCTCTTTAGAACCGAACCAAACCGACCCGCGCCCACCCCTAATTTGTTGTTTGAATTTTGAATCTCCTTATGTTCAGCATATGGAGTTAATGTCACCCATTTTCCTTGACTATGGGAATTTTCAATTAAGCATTCAATAAGGGAAGTTTCATATATAGTAATATAGGGATTTTATTGGGGTTTTGCAGTAATTATGGTTAATTAAACAATTGGGTAGTATAAAATAAAATAGTTCATATTAATAAGGCATTTATGATTTTTTTCCGTAAAATCAATTTAATAAAACCGATGACGGGTGGGGCCATTCGGTCCAAATGTAGGTGACTCGATTTTTTAACAAGTAAACCGATGGTTTTACGTTAGATCGCTGGCCCGGTTCTAAAAGAAATTGAACCTTGGACCTTTAAGGTAGATTCTATGGCTGCTATCCACTAGAATATGCAACAATGTTGACACTCTCTTGTAATAATCATTATATATGCCTAAATCATTTATAGTTCTCCAAATATTTCAAAATAATTACAGTCCATATTTTAGTTTATTTTATAGACGTAATTTGTATTGAAAGACTAAGATAAATTGAACTTTCAAAAATTTATAATTTTAAAATAGATAAATAATTAGTGACGAATAACTAAAAATCTTTAATTTTATCTCAAAGAAAAAAACTTAGATTTTAATTTTATTTTATAATTTTTAAGTAATGACTCACCGGTCCGACCATTGACTCAAGACCTAGTACATCGATAGGTTTGATGCTCTGGTTGGATTTAATAATTACAGCTAAAATGTATAGCAGTAGTTCAAAATATGTCCAAACATGTTCATAATTAAGTGAAATTCGTTAATAATTTCTTTATTTTTATTGAATAATTATGAATCTATAATCTAATATTAAAAAATAAAATTAAATATGAACTATTTGAATCAAAATTCAGAAATTACTGAATTATACGATTTTGTTCGATTATTTGTAGATTTTTAGAAAAGAAAAAAGATCTTCCTTTGAAAAAAGGTAGTTGAAGTGCGATTGATTAGAGAAATTCGATTTGTAAGGCTCTTTTTGTTTTAATTTTTGATTTTGATGGTGTTTGGATGGTTAGAATCATAGTTATTAAAATAGGACAGGATTGGCCGGTTCAACCCGGAAATCGGTGAATCGAACACTAATCCGGTCTGATTGACACTATTTGGTCCATTTACAATGGAACCGAACAAGAACCGCCCAAATAGGTTCATATATGTCCTAAACCGGCGGGTTTAGGCGTGAACTGATTTTTGTGAAATTGGCACCTAATAAAATTTATATCAAGGTTGCATAAAGTGAGACTCGAACCCGCATTACTTTGTTGAAAGGTTGAAGTCAAGACAAGAACCGTCCAAACCGGTTCATATATGTCCTAAACGGCAGGTTTTAGGTGTGAACCAGTTTTTGTGAAATTGGTACCTAATAAAATTTATATCAAAGTTGCATAGAGTGAGACTCGAACCCACATTTCTTGTTGAAATGTTGAAGCCTTGACAACCATAGTAGATGTAGAATTGCAACAAAATATTGTGAGCCAAATATATATATTTAGTTTAACCAGAATGACATAAAATATCATTTATACTGTCTTTTTAGTTTAAAAAATATTTTTAATTAAAATTAAGAAATAACATCGACCTATCGATTCAACCACTACCCTCGGTCGAACCATTGGCCCAATGACCCGATGGTCTTTCCGAGTCCATAATCGAGTCAGGTATGATAACTATGGTTAGAATTTTGTTTTTGGGCTTTTTCCTCACCTGAATTAGATCATATTTTATACGATCCTTAAAATTGCAATTTGCTTATTTATTTGCCCATATTTGCGTATAGTATTTCATGAATTGTTTTTATTTACTTGGTTATACATGACTTTTTACCAATTCTTTAAAGGGGAAACTAGGCAAAGTACGGCCTAATTTGACATCCTCGGAGGGATCCAACAGTTCATACAGCTATTTTGTAGAGTTGTATATCACATTCTCCATGTCTTTGAGGCTAATTACCAGGTGTTTACTCATAAGGGTTTGCCGCAAAACTGATACGCTGAAAAACACAATTTTACATTCTGTCTTACAACAAAATAGTTCAATATTCACCATTTAGAAAAATAAAATAAAATAAAATAGCGCCATCCCCTTTTAATAAGCCTACGTGGAAGGAAAACTTTGTGTATGTGAAACAGTGTTTTTTCCATAATTTTTTTCATTCTTTTTCATCAGTAAGCAATTATAGTTACATAAGTAGAATGCAATTATATGAGACATTCCCTATTGATGAGTAGAAATGTATAAATAAAACTTTCTAACCATCTACTTGTGTTTGTTAATTTTGAGTGTTTATCACTTTTTGAATTTTTGTTACTTTTTTTTTTATCACTTTTTTGAGTTTTTGTTACTTTTTTTTTTTTTTTTTTTTATTTTTTAAGCACAAGCACAATCCTCCAAAACTTTAAGAACACGAAGGAAGATATTGAATATGAATGTAAATCAATAGTTTGATTCAATGTGGAATGATATGTGGATCTCAAAATGTTCAATGTTTCTAATGTGTTTGTATTGATCATTCATCGCCTATTTATAGGCATCAATCAATACACCACGAAATGGTATATAAACATGATGAAAATTGTCAACTTTTAATCGAAAATGGTGCCTAAGAACGGCTATTTTTTAACACTTTACGTAAGCATAGTATAAACCTAACGTACGCATAGTAGAAGCAAATTTGATTCTGTTTTAGCCAAAACACATCTCGTGTACGCACAAAATTACACATAGGTAAAAATCAAATTTTCCATTTTTTTACTTTTTTTTTTTTCCTTTTTTTGAGTTTTTTTTTTTTTTTTTTTTTTTTTTTTTTTAATTTTATCACTTTTTGAGTGCTTATTACTTTTTTTTATTATCACTTGGTTTTTTAAATATGTGTAACTTTTTTTTATTTGTGTCACTTTTTTTAATTACTATCATTTTTTTTTAATTTTTATCCCTTTTTTAGTATTTGCCACTTTTTTAGTGTCTATCACTTTTATTCAATCACGTTCTTGATTTTTATCATTTTTTTAGTGACAAATATCACTTTTTAACAAAAGTGACATTATATGTCATTTTTTTAATTAAAAAAATTTGACACTTAACTTTTAAAAGTGATATTATGTCACTTTCTAAAAAAAGGTGACATAATTTTTTATAAAAAAGTGACACAATATCACTTTTTTAATATTACACAATATATTTTATTTTAAAAAAACTTTTCATATGATTTTTCAAAATATCCTGAATTTTAAGTGTATTTTAGTAAGTTGCTCGAAATTCCAGGCCCAAGTTCCATATTAGGGCTAGCAATCGGTCGGCTCGAGGTCGGTTCAGCTAAAACCATCACTGACCTACCAATTTTTCTATGACTCTCGCTCGGCTCGCTAAGGGTCGAGCCATTTTTTTATGGCCGAGCTTTTGCTAGCTCGGCTCAGGCTCGAAAAAAGCTTGTTTTCTTTTACTCGAGTCGAGCTCAAGCCTTGAGTTTTGGCTTGCGAGTAGATTCGACTCGACTCGTTGACATCTCTAGTCATACCATAACCACGTAAGTTGGTTAGCTCAGTTCGTATTTCAATTCGACTCAATTCGGGAGATTAATAACCACGAAAATAAATTATTTTTTATAAGTCCAGTCGTCAAATTGGAAAAAACGATTTATGAAAAAAATTAATGAAAGCGAAAAATACAATACTAAACTAATTTAGCAAACAGCATCCCAAATGAAAATGCAAACAATACCATAATTCCCAAATGCAAAATTAGAATTTAACAAACAATTTCCATATAAATTTAGTATTTGTAGTAGAGTGTAGAGTTATTGGGTTAAGTTAGTTAGACTTAGCAAGTCAGTAATAGGTCAAAATTTTGGATTGGACAAAATTATAGAAAAAATAATGAAAAGTCCAATTGTCCAATTTTTTTTTAATGGATAATCGGTTTGAGGCGGGGCGACGGCATAAATACCATACCAATCCCGTCCCAAACTAGAGCATTAAAATTAAATACCATATCCATCCTATTATCGATTCAATTTTTTCGTCCCATCCAATACGATTAACTGAGATTTTTAATAGTTGGAATTGCCATCCATATTCCATATGCACTATCCTTTCACTACAAAAAACAAGAAATGAAAATCTTCGAACCCCTGGGGTGAAAAATAAAATAACCAGAAAAGGAAGGGGATAAAGTATAAAATCCGCCTCTTCTCCTTTACCGTGAAACCACACTCCAGTGAGAAACGTAGCCCTCGTTAGGTTAGAGAAGTTGGAAAATCAGATTTTTCAAGTCAAAGGTAATTCCATTTTTAAAAACTGTTAAATAATAGACATTATTTTTCAATTTTTTGTAATAATTCATCGCATTTCTATTTTACTTTGAGATCTCTATGTTTTCTGGTTTTGCTAGTACTTGTACTAAATATTGTTAACTAGTTTTTGCTCTTCGAGTACTGAACTCTACTAAATATTTACGGATGATTTCGATTTAGAGAAATCCAGTTTATGAAATGCAGGGGGCGGTGTTTATTCTCACGTGGCTTTTGAAGTGCACTTATATTGTTGTTTGAATAAAGATTTCATAAAAGGGTTTGTTGATCAAAATTATCGAAAGAATATGTTAAAAGTAAAATACTTCTGAGGAGAAGAACATGAGAAGTTTTTTATATTTTTGTGGAAGAAGGTTTATTCGGATATTTCAGCGAGTGAGTCAGTCTTCTAATTGAGAAATTGCTTCGTTTGATTTTATTGAATTGGTTGGAATGTTTGCTCCTTATTTTGTGTTTCATTTTCCCTGGTTGCAAATACTTATCTGGTTGAATGTTCATCAGATAAAAAAGTGCAACCCCATAATTATTATTTTTGATTATCTGGGAAGCTCTTCTTCGTTTTGGTTGGTTTTGATTCTTTTGAATATAGTTGCTCTACAGAAAATTTTGGACGGTGACTGATCCAAGTGGCTTTTGAGTTTTCAAAAGAACTTTAAGATACAAAGTTTTGGACAATGTCAGACATGGAGTCTTTGTGGAAACTTGTTTATCTGCTGGAACCTGCTCCAGTTACCCTCATTTTGACAGCCATAGCAGTGACATTTGCATCTGCTACTCGAGCTCTGAATTATGGAAGAGAAATTGAGCGGAACTGGGACTTATCTGAAGCAACTATTATGTTAGACAGGTCTCAGGCGCTGATGATCCCAGTAATGAGCTCTTGCAGCCTGCTTTTGATGTTTTATTTGTTCTCTTCTGTCTCACAACTCCTCACTGCTTTTACTGCAGTTGCCTCTGCATCAGCTCTGTACTTCTGCCTATCACCATATGTTAGTCACGTCAAGTCACAGTTTGGTTTATCTGACCCATATGTGTCTCGATGCTTTTCTCAATCATTTACCCGAACCCAAGGGCTTCTACTGTTGATCTGTGTTGCTTTAGTAGTATCGTGGCTTGTATCTGGGCACTGGATTTTGAACAACTTGTTGGGTATCTGTCTTTGCATTGCTTTTGTCAGCCATGTTCGACTTCCCAACATCAAGATATGTGCACTTCTCCTTGTTTGTCTGTTTGTCTATGACATATTCTGGGTATTCTATTCAGAGAGAATTTTTGGAGAAAATGTTATGGTATCTGTAGCGACACAACAAGCATCTAATCCCATGCACACAGTGGCTAATAGTTTAAGTCTTCCTGGACTGCAGTTGATTACAAAAGAACTCGAGTTGCCAGTCAAGATTGTCTTTCCAAGGAATATGCTAGGTAGTGCAATACCTGGAAATAGTGACTTTGACTACTTGATGCTAGGTCTTGGTGACATGGTAAGATATTTTTTTATTAGTTTTAAGAATCGCATCTATTCCATTAAGGACAATGATTTAGCATGTTTAATTGCAATCCCATCCCCTCTCTATTTTCATCGAAGGTATTGGGGATGGTGGGTTGCATTAGAATACTTTTCTACCTGCCTTCTGGCATGTTTCTTTACCTGTATTATATCTTTGGTTGAGCTCTAGGTCTAAACATTCTGTGCAATTCTGCTTGGTACAAATTGTTTTGCTCTAGTTACTGTAGTTTCAATTAGAATACTTCAAACAAAATCAGTTTTCTCATTCACATGTAACATCCTTCACTAGATTCTAGTTCTTATTTCTGCTATTAATTTACCATTTATCAGCTGTTAAAGAAATTGTGCTATAATGCATCACGAAGTCTTGTGATCAGAATGCAATATTAATCTGAGTTCAATGTAAGATGTTGCCTCCTGTGCTAGAATGAGAGGCACAGATTCTTCCTTTGTATTTTTTCTAAATTTGAATCAGATCTAGATGTCTTAGTTGGGGTCTATTCGGATGAGGCTAAATATTCCTGTCCCTGACTGTGGTAATGCTTCCCTATGGTAGATTCTGTAGTATACCGCATCTGGTGAGGCCTCAAAATAACTTCTTTTTGAGCTAATGTTACTTAGTTTTCTATCCAAGTATTTGTTTGTCACTGTAGGTGACCTGTCTGAGTTATTGCTTTACATGATCATCTACTCATTGAGTACTTGGGTTAAGTTGGCTTGACTTTCTTTTCCTTTTCTATCGTTTAGGTTGGTCAGTTCTTGTAAGGGTTGTAAAACCATGACCATATACCTTTGCTGCATAGTAATCTGTCTTTGTTTTTAGTTCCTCTACATCTCATGTTCTGTTTCTCTGGTGCACTCATCTAATCATGTGAAGTATATTTAGTCACCTCATATGATATTTATGATACCAAATTTTGTTACCAAGCAGAAGGTCACAAAATCCATTATCCCTTATTACCTTAGGATATGAGCATTTTATATGTTAGTGACTTAGTGTTGGGAATATCATTTTGAAAAAATAAATAAATGAAGATTGAAATCTACCTTGAAGGAAAATTTATGTATGAATAGTTATTATTATATGATACCAAACGGTGTGTGTAAAATATTGTGTCACAGTTTTATAGCATTTTTTTTTTTTTTCCTTTAGTGGTTTTAGGATGTCATGATGGCATGCCTCCTTTTTTAACCTTCATTGCATTTTGTCTTTCTTGTATAATCCAAATATTGCTTAAGAAATACAGTTGATAACCTCCTGACATCTTGTAATATTGGAACGTGGTCTTGCAGGCTATTCCTTCAATGCTTGTAGCTTTGATTCTCTTTTTTGATAACAGACAAAGCAAGGATTCCATGAGTGCCACCGATATACAATCTTCAAAGGGGTTTAAGTATTTTTGGTATGCCCTCTCTGGATATGCAGTTGGACTGGTTGCTGCCTTATCAGCTGGAACTTTGTCGCATTCTCCTCAGCCAGCACTTCTGTATCTGGTATCTCATTGTTTTCATGCATTCGAACTTTTAGACTGAGGATGCATACGAAAAACTTTTGATGATTTAGTTTACTTCGGATATTATTGCATGTGCCTATTCTATATTCTTTCATTTTTGTAGAGAGAGAGAGAGAGCGAGTTGCTCACTGCTTGTAATATAGATACTAGTTTTCTGATGTTTTCTTCCTTAACATTGTCACTAGACGGTTTCTAATTTATTTTGATTTGGGATTGAATAAGGCTGTATCAACATAACATGGCACAATGACACTAGTACCCATAATTTGGCCATGCCCCAGAAAAAGGCATTGGCTGTGATACTGAAAATTCTTGGAAAAGAGAAAATTTGACTTAGGCAATTACTACAGTACCTTCAATCAGTATTCGTCGACTATGTTACGTCTTGAGATTTATAACTCATTTTTAGTACAGATAATACTCATTTTCTGTACTTCTTCCTATTTGGTGCATGTAGGTACCATCTACTTTGGGACCAATAATCGTCATCTCTTGGATGAGAAATGAGCTAGCAGAGTTATGGGAAGGAACGACACCAAACATCAACGAGAAAACCCATATAGCAGAAGTATAAAATTTCATTAGCGTCGGCTCATCTTCGCTCCAAACTCATATGGAATTTGTAAAAAATTCCAGTTGGAATGATTATATTAAGATTTTAAAGAGAAAATATCAAGTTACATGTAATTGACCAAGCTGTTAGGCTCTTCGATAAAACTTGGGCTCTCGTATCCTTTGACAGAGAAAATGTATTCCGTCACCCACTAAAAACTGGCAATATTCCCTTGGAGCTTCATTAAAATGAGATTTTGGGGGGGAATATATTTTGGAATGGTGATTTTTCGAAGAATGTGTGATTAAAAAACAAGAAAAGGTTTTGGATTTACGTATAACATTATTTTATGAGAGAATGTATGATTGAAAAAATTGAGCCCAATCAAGGAACATTTTTGCTACGATAGATTGAACATGGAAGTGATAGGGGATGGACGTTTTGAGTGATTTCTTGTTTCAGTGCATACTAATTTTTGGCAATCTTACGAATTGAATAGAAAATGCAGAAAGTGGAACAAATTGGTTATATAAATTTTGTTGAATTCATTCTAAACATGTATACGGAGTATAGACAAATGGTGAAGCATGTAACTTAATTTCGATACAGTCTTGCAATACATACATTGAACCTTATCGGGGATTGGATTGATGATAAAATAGAATCCTGGGTTGAGAACAGTGGTTCGATTGATGATGAAGAAAGAGAATTTCTAGTTGGAACCCTGAGCAGATTGTCGATGATAAGTAGGAGGAAGGCAAGAATGACGTCAAGTTATCATGTCCCTTATGTCCTGGGCGACGCACATTTTATAATGGCCTGGACAAACTTGGTGTATATCCTCCTCACATGGGAAGAGGGGCCATTCATCAATTGGGCGTGAGCCCCTCTCCTCACGTGAGGGGAGTATACACCAAACTACAAAGCTCGATGTACAAGGGCTTTATTCATTTCGATATAATGCATGGGCAAGGCAAGTACCCCGTCCCTCTTTTAGGTTTCAACATTTACTAATTTCTAAACCATACACAGCATTAAAAGAAGGTGGTGGTTTGGTAATTTATCTTGAGTGAATCTTATATCTACAGAAATATCTTTGAGGTTAAGTGCATGCTTAATGAAGATATTTTTAAGAATACATTTTTTGAAATTAGTTAACGTTGAACGTTATTATTAAATGCTTAATAACTGCTGTAAAGATAATATTTGAATATATTTGAATGTTAATTAATTTAGAATTATATATACGTGACAATGAATGTTAGATCATTTATTTAATTTCTAATTAAGTAAAATTTTAATTAACTTCTAATTAGAATTAATACCATTGAAATACATAAATGAAGATAAATATTAATTTGAATATGCAAATATTGATCAATTGAGAATTAATAATGACGAATTCATAAATTAATGGAAGCACACAAGTAAAATGAATCTGTCAAATGTACATATGCGTTGATGATAACTAAATGGTTAAATAACATAGATACATATTAAAAAACAAAAGGTAAAGTATTATTGAAATAATTGAATTATAGTAAACTAAAATCATCAAAAATTTAAATGTCATTTAACATACATATTAAAAAATGAAATGTAATGTATTGTTGAAATAATTAAATTATAGTAGGGCCAAAGTTATCAAAAAATGATTTTTCACTTGATATGATAGAATCCGTGGTTAAAAAGTAAAGAAAAAATATGAATTCATGTAAAAAAAAAAAAGAGTTTTAAAGAATTTATACCAGTGCAGAGCATAGTGCTAAATGAGACATAAAAGTACAAATACCATACGACAAAAAGAAAACTCAAAAGCATAAATACAATTAATGTATTTTTACAATGAAATTGTACTGGTAGTTGGAGAATGTGTGACATGTAAGGATATCTGTCATTGATTTCAAAAATAATTTTTCAAATCAATGAACAAAATGCCTACCAACTCACGCATTGTCAAACTAGTTGTACTAATCGCATGATTGGCATAAATATGTACTACGCTAAAAATAATGATAATTAAAATCAACAGTTAGATACTGTGATGTCCATGAATGGTTTGAAAGAATAATGTTTTAAGTCTCCTAGATAACATGCAAGTGATGGTATGCAACACTAGATGAAAGTGTCCAAGAGACCATGGACTTTGGGGGGTTCAACTTAACAATTGTACTACACATCCAAGGTTAAAAACAGGGACAACACGTATCATCTTACAGTTGGACAGTTTGAAAAATGAAAACAGAAAACATCCAACCATTTACCATAACCTCAATAAATCTACTCCTTCCATATTTTTAGGATCTTGCTATTGGTACATGGAGGTTTACATGTTGATTGACACCGACCCACCTCCCCTCTCACACGGGAAGGTCGACGCCACACATTTGGGCTTGGACCCCCGACCTCTCCCATGGAAAAGGTCGGGTGGGACCGTGTCAACCAACATGTAAATCAACAAGTACAAATGACATAATCCATGTTTTTAACCCTAGCTAATTGACTTTATTCTTTACACAATAGAAATCGCAGGTAAGATGGTCCCATAATGAGATTGATCTTCGGAAGTTTACTTTTTTTTTTTTATGGATTTTTGCATCACTGACGAATATAACAGAAACTTTGCTTCTTGGAGTGGAAATTACCAGATTGATTAGTTGGGGTTCTGCAAATTGCAACCTGAAAAACAATTCTTAGGTGGGGTTACCAACATTACTATACACAGGCAATCATCGTTCATCCACATATAAATTTCCATCCAGTTTAATGGAATTATCCGATATGACATTCAAATTAAAGGAATTCTCATAACCGAAGCTGAGAATCTCACTTCACAGCCTTTACTTCTCACATTCAGTGTCCACAAGCTTAGGACAAAAGCAATAGGGAAACATAAGAATTTGTCGCGTTAATCAATTTCTGACCGTGGTTTTGTCCTAAAAAAAAAAAAAAAAAATGGAAAACCAACAACAACATAGATTGAAAGCAAAATGAAACAGTATTAACTAATGCCATCAAATCTATGATTTTCACTCTGAAACAAGTCTTCACTTCTTCTTTTCACCGCCTCCAGCAGCCCTAAATAAATTCAGCAAAGCAGTTAGAAACGATTTAAGTCATTTTAAAAACCACATTGCAGAAATAAATTGAAAACCTCAATTCATTTCAAGAAAAACAACTTAAAATTTCTCGATTGAAAGGAGAAAATATAGTAGAAGCATGATGAACTTGTGTTAAGAGTTCGGTTGTGACCCGAATTCTATCAAGAGTTGGTAGTATGCCTTGAAAAAGTCAAAGATAGACAAGGAGTCCTTTTCACGTGAAGACCGCTTGCTGGCCACCAATCAGCCGCTCAAGAGGATTTTGCAGTGAGCTGACCGCTCGCTAACCACTAAGTGACGGCTCGAGCGGTCGTCTTATATGGTGTAACCCGTTTGTAATTTTGGCAATTTTTTCATTTCTATTCTAGCTCACACTCTATTATTTGTTAGGCTTGTTATATTAGGACTCCACCTTATGTTACGCTCTTCTTTGTACTATATATATGAAGAGTAAACCTCTTAGGAAAATCATCCTACACACTTAGTAATCCTCCATATTTTTTATAGTAAATTTCTCCCCCTCTGCCCATAGTTTTTTCTTAATTCGGATTTTCACGTAAACCTTGTATTCCTGTTCTTATATTTTTTCATATTCCAATTCTAGTTCATTACTAACAATTTGTAATCTTGTCAGAAATAATGTCATGTAATTTGAGAAAGATTACCTCATTTTGCGAAGAACGCTGGACATCTCCTCTCTCTTCTTCTTGGCCCTTTTGTGAGTGCCCAACTTCCTCTTAGCTACCTTTAGAGCACGCTTATCCTTGCCAACTTTAAGCAGTTCAGTAATTCTCTTCTCATATGGTGCGAAACCAGCAACTTCCCTGATAAGGCTCCTTGCGAAGTGCACTCTTTTGCTCGTTTTCTGAATCAACAAAAAAGAAGAAATAGGATCAAAAATTGACTAACGTCTAACAGTTTCACCTTCTTGTTAAGTTGTACTTATAGTCTCCAGTCTCCACTTTGATCAGCTAATATAAGACTATAAACCATAACTTCTACTTCTGGAAACCTCAAAATGCGAAATCTCCTGCTGAAGAAGTCAAATTTCCTAGAACTCATTTGCTATATGGTTGTTAACAACTGTTTGTATGTTAAGACAACCATATACACAACAGAGTTAAGAACCTATAATCAAATTTCCCAATATACCCTGGCAATTTATCATTCTTGTTCTACCTAACACACTAAGAAAAATTATCTGTAATGCAAATTTGAATTATTTGAATCAAGAGCATGTTTCGTTAAGCTTAAATAAAATGTCCAAAAATGTTTGGAAAACTTACCCATTTCTAATTTTCACAAGTAAAAAAATTGTTTGTTCTAAAACTTATTTGTTCACTTATAAGTAAATTTACTTGTCAATTAACCTTTTAAGCTCAGCCAAACATTTTCATATTTTCATCACTTAGCTAAAAAAAAAAAAAATTTAATTAATTAATTAAAAAAATAAAAATGGCACAGACATAACTTACCCCCTTCCTAGCAGATGGGCGAGGAGCTAATTCCTTTGGGGTTACGACATGGCCTTTGTTCAGGCCAACAAATAAGCCAGTATTTGGCTGCTTCGGAGCCATTACCTATATACCAATTACATACACAAATGCAATAAAATATTTTTTTATCCAACTTTCACAAAAAATTTCAACAAATTCTCTTAATAAAAAAAACTGCCCCTAAATATTTACATTTATCTGTATGTCAACAATGATTCTTATAAGAAAACATAAACTGGGTTTTTAATTCTTTTCAACAGTACCCACATGAAACATGTATATAACCACATCCGCACAGAGATAGGTTAATGATACGTATACATATGAGTACATATCAATCATGTAAATTGAAGGTTCACCTTTTCTTCGAGCTGTCTGATCTGCCGCTGGAATCTGAGGCGGAGAGGAGAAGAAGAAGTAGGGTTTTGTTAAAATAGAGGCTTTTATATTAAAATGGGGATGAGGAGATTTTTGGAATACTAGGAATTTCACTGGGTAAAATTGTCATTTCGGAGTGAGGTTTGCAATATCCAATCAACGTCAAGAAGTTCGAGAATTTGGATGCAAATGAATATAAGAAAAAGGTAGGCTGGATCCAAATGAATAAATATGGAACAATGTTACGTGTACAGAAATTTAGTTCATAGAAATGTCATAAAATAACCACAATAGGTGGGATGGGTGATTTTTTTTTGGCATTTTTTTATTGTACCATGGAATTCATCTATGTGAGTGTCTGAAAGAATTCTGTTAGTCATCTTCTGTACACACAATATTTTTTATAAAAATATTCGAGCACAAAATTCACACCAACTCGAGTGAATTAGGCTATCTACAACCCTAAACTAAAATTTTGCACTATTTTGCATCAAACTAAAATTTATCTTCAACTATTACACCAAATTAATAGTGTTTTATTATTTTATTCATTTTTTTGATTTTTGACAATGTATTTATTTAAAAAATATATTTATTTATTTTATAACTATATAAATTCTTAAATCATAACTACGTTAAATTAACAAATATATTGAATTATTATTGATTACTAAATTATTCACATGTTTTATATATTATGTTAAATTGACAAAATAATTGATTACATTATTAATTTATTATAAACAATTACGTTAAATTTACAAAATAATTACTAAATTAAAAAATCATTAATTATTATTGATTATATTATTGAAAATAATGAACTTTATTATTATTATTATTATTATTATTATTATTATTATTATTATTATTATTATTATTATTATTATTAGGCACATTCCATAATTCCGAGCTATTGAAACATTACTGGCCCAGAATTTATTGAAACTTGAAAAGTCAAGTTGAAAATGGTAGCTGCTTCAAAATTTTCTGTGACTAACTAAAAAACTAATGACCAATAGATACCTTAAAAATAAAATAAATAAATAAATAAAAATCTATGAAGATGAGAGGATTACCAGAGTTGAGGAGGAAAGTGTAAGCTTCAGAAATCTGCATTAAAACTATTACATCAGATCGGAGCAACAATTGCTCAAGGATTCAAAAAATAAAAATTTCTACTGGGGATAAAGTCGAAGAAGAATATCTTATACAGGCATTCTTTTTTAATGTGCAGTCATTCACTTACCAACTTGAATTTCACTTACCAACTTGAATTTAGACTCGGCCTGAACTTTTTCATAATTTGGAAATCGATCGGGATGAGTTTCCCAAACCTTCTTTCTGTAAGCGGCCTTAACCTAAAATTGATAACACGATTCAATTCAGTTTCTAGAACTGTTTTGTGCTGCCCCACAAGTAGTTATTTTGTTTATTAGTTCAATTCAGGCAATTTCATCTGTAACTTACGTTCAAGGAATTAGTGGGATCTGGTCATCTCTCCAAAATAGCCTTTGACCAAAATAAAATAAAATAAAATAAAAAAGCAAAAATGTTAAAAAACTTGAAAAGGAATGACCCGCCTCACTTTCAATCAAGAGAGAAAAGAGAGGAAGAGATAATGTAGCAAGTCTATGTCCACCGACAACCCAGGTAAATTATTCAAATTCGGACTTTATTGGATGTGTGGATATTAGAAAGTCCACATTTGACTATCTGTTCCTCTTGGCTGGAGGGGCTGTATTAAGGAAAAAGTGCGAAGCAGTCGGTTATTGTTGCATCCATTATGGAAATGGAATTTATAGCATGCTTTGAGGCCATAGTTTAAGGAAAGTGGCTACGGAATTTTATTTCAGGGCTTGAAATTGTCGACAATATTGCCAAGCCGCTGAAACTTTATTGTGATAATTCTCAACAGTTTTCTTTTCAAAGAACGACAAGTATTCTAAAGGTGCTAAACATATGGAATTGAAGTACTTTGTCATTAAAAAAGAAGTTCAAAAACAAAAGGTATCAATCGAGCATATTAGCATCAATCTTATGATTGTAGATCTATTAACGAAAAGATTGTCACTAAAGACATTTAATGAATATGTCAAAAGGATGGGCATTATTGAAAATTATCATTGACATTATTATGTAATTTATGATGTTTATATATTGACATTTTGAGTTCATTTATGTATTGTTTTTGTCATAATTGTTGGTGCATGTACATGAATGAATTATGTGAATGCAAACAGGGATAATCCTTTTAATGACATTATTGGAATATAATTATCGAACTTCTTATTATGTATCATGTTAAGTGAGAACTAGTATTGTAGTACATTGGAGGAATTATGCCGAAATGATGGTGTAAAACTACCACGTCTCTTATTAATTTTTACTTAAGGATGATATATTAAATGTCCAATGTATGATGGATTTTAGTTCATGATATACGCATTATGTTATATATCATATAACGAAGCAATATTACATTGTCCAAGTAGAAGAATGTAAAATCAATTAATTTTGTGGCTCATGTAGAGTATTAAAGAATTAATTAAAAGTGGTTAATATTGCTAAAATCTTATTAGCCCAATTGAGAAGTGGCAGTTTTATAACTGTTCACTTTGATGGAAAGTGGATAGTTTTTATGGCATATAAAAAACTGTTGCTCTCTACCTATAAACTAAATGAAACACGTCAATTAATTAATTAAATTACTTAATTTGACAGTTTCTTTTTTGCAGATTTATATTCTCAATTATTGTCATGGATCAAAGTATGTTTCTTGATCAATTAACTTATACGTGAAACTCATGAATTTTAAGATTTTGGTATTATGGGTTAATCGCTTACAAATACAACCATAAGGAGATAAAGAATGAGCATTTATCAAATTGCCAAAACTTTAGGAATATAACATGAAAATTTATAGGGAGTATTTTGTTAAATTGTTTTTTTCCATTTATGTTTAGAACCATGAAAATCACTACCATTTATAGGAATAAATTTAACCCTCACAATTAGCCTATTCAAAATAAGTTACACTTAAAAATTAAGACTTCTAATTTTTTATTAAATCTGAAATTGAAATCAAAACTAAAAATTCAAAAGGTTTTTAATTTTGAAATTTAAAACTATATATTTTCTATGTTACAACAAGAAATGGAACCATGCCACGATTGAAGAGTTTGAACCTGCCCCAAAGCTCTGGCATTACATTTTGATACAGAGTTGGACGGAAGATTATTGCTAATTGTACACAATGCTATACAAAATGTGTACAGCCTCCTCATATGAGGGGGCCCACCATGAATAAAAAAAAAAGTCGCGAACCCCCTATTTGTGAGGCGGTTGTAACGCTATACAAAGCATGGTGTACACGCAGTGCTCATCTGAAGAAAATAGAGCAGTTCCTAGATCAGATTTCAGCATATGATGCGTGTATAATTGTCGAGCTGCATTACTACCATTCCATGCTCTATGTGATGTTGGTCGTGGATAAGGTATTCAACATCTCTTTTATCTCACTTTCCTATTGTTTCAGTCTTTCTTGCATTTATACATTTTTCCTTTGGACTTTACAATAGGTTAAGACCACGGTTGGGAAGGTCATGAAATTGACGAATGATGCCTTTACCATGTTCCAAATAGCTAAGACTGAAATGGCTAGTCTTGTTGGGGAGAAAAAAATAACGGGATGAAACATGAAGGGGCTCGAGTTTAAGCAGAAGCTGACTTGAAGGAAGAGCTCAACATGATTAACATGGAAATGGTGTTTATATGCTATAGGTCATGACAATGAGAAATGGGACCTTGCCACAGCTAAAGAATTTGAACCTGTCCCAAAGTTCTACCATTATATTTTGACATGGAGTTGGAAGAAAGCAGAGCATAAGTTCTTGAATCAGATGTTAATGGATGATGCAAGGTATAACTGTTGAGCTCGATTATCGCCATTCCATGCTCTACATGATGTTGGTTGTGTACGAGGTATTCAACACTTCCTTTTCTCACTTTCCTAAAGTTTTACATTTTTCCTTTGGACTTTGGAATAGATTAAGGTTGAGGTTAAGAAGTTCATGAAATTGAAGAATGATGCCCTTGCCATGTTCCAAATAGTCGAGACTAAAAGGGCTCATCATATTGAAGAAGAGAAAGAATAGGAAGAAAAAAATAAAGAGGCTAGAGGCCGAAGTTCAAGAAGATGTTCACTCATCGGACGATCTGTCCATGATCATTGGATGGATTGAATCAGTAGCGGATTTACAAGATGCTGATGTTTGCCGATTTGAAGGAAGAGCTCAGGGCTACCAAATTTTGGAGAGAAAGGCTCGACCTCGAGCTAAAATTGAGACAAAGAAGGCCTTAGAGGAGAAGGCCAAGTTGATGAGGCCATAGCTAGGGCTGCCAAGAAATGGAGGGAATCTCCTTCATTTGTTACCTTATCCTACATGCCTACGTCGTGAGTTTGGTTGAAGTGATCAAACACATCGATAAAATGAAGTCATAATTTGACACAGGCTTCCTTTATATTGCATTGGAAGATTAGAGGGTCATCTTGGTTGATATGACAAGTGAAGGCACTTCTTAGGATCCTCCACAAGATGAACTTGGGGTGAGGGCTAGAGTCGATCGTAGGGTAGAGACATTGGCTTAGATTTGCAAAATGGTCCCAATGCCTATGGAAATGGGGGTGTCGATGGTGATAGTAATGGAGACGGAGTGGGGCGGGATAAATGGGGAAAAACTTGAATTTTTTTCCCCATTTTTCTTATCGTATTTTCTTTGATAGGTTTTTCCCCCTTTTGTTTATGTTTTTGTATTAGTGATGACATAATAGTTCTTTTAAAGAAATTTTAACTTTCCAACATTCCTTATTGGTTAAATATATTCACACCACATATTTTAATAACTAGATTACGTCTTAATTGCATGGAAGCTTATAACATTTATACACTATCACATTTATGTCTAATTTTTTCATTGCATTTTTATTCTCAAATTAATATGAATTATTTTTTATTATGATTTCTCTCTCTCTCTCTCTCTCTCTCTCTCTCTCTAAGATAGGGTAAAAAGTTTCTGTGATTAAGAGAAGAAGTTAAGAATATAAGTGTCATAATGATTAAATGTTAACGTCCTTTAATGTAATCAAAATATGGAGTATTCGCCCCCCGGGGCACAGCTCAACTGATAGATCAATAAACATTGGCTTGCTTCCAACGGCAGGGTGGAGAGTTAGATTCCTGGTGGGAACCTGCGACCAAAAATTTGGTATGGAGCAATCATTGTGGAGGAGGGTCTCTTGTGCGCAGAAGTGTACAGTCAATGGGGGGAACCTGTGATCCAATTGAGACATAACCCGCGATTTACCCCTCCAAAGTTCTAGGGACATGGGTCTTGGAGGTTCAAGATTTAGTTTGGTGTAAGATGGGATACCTGAATATCAAAAAATAAAAAAAAATAAAAAAATGGAGTATTCATATTAAAAAAAGAAAATAAAATAAAAAGATGTGAATATGACCGTCCTTTTATCATGAATAATGCTATCCATTGTGCTATAACACCAGTTAATATGATATTTTGTAAAAAGTTCCATTAAAGGAAAAATTATGTAATTCATTTAATGATATTTAGTGCCAATTATGTTGGTGTTGTATCACTCTTTTAACATTAAGCAAGTGTTTGAGCCCCTTTTTAGCTAAAAATGTATTTTAGAATAATAGATTGATGGAGAATGTGTGGTTAAAAATAAAAAATAAAAGTTTTAGGTTTGTATGTAATATTATTTTATTGAAAAATGTGTGATCGAAAAGAAGAGAGAGAGAAAAATGTATTTGAAAATAATGGAGATTAAACAAAAGTTAAGTAATGTTTGACCACCACGGTATTTAACACAAGTTTTGCTGACAACAATAGTGATATTAAATTACATATTCAATTAAATACGTGGAACTATGACTTATTTAGCAGGACATATGATATGTTGACACCTAAACTGACAATCAACATATTAAGAATAAATAGCATTATTCTCAAACAACTTAAATGTGTTGAATAGTCACGTTCTCACTTCGAGAATTGTTGCAGCATAACGCTACTTTTTCTTAATTGAATTTGAACATCTATAACATAATTAGTAGTGAATTACAGGAGAATTAGTCTAAAATAAAACTAAATTAGTCTAAAATAAAACTAAATTAACTTATTTATGTTGGAGGAATTTTGTGAATAGTGACGCCAAAACAAGTATAATGATGGTTTGTAAATCCGTGCCGAAAATGGGACAGAGTAACGGCAAAGAAACCACAAGCAAGAAGAAGAAGAAAGTAGGGATAAAGCCGAGGCAAGAGTTGGACTCTTTGTCTTTAAGTCGAATTTGCCCCGCAACGGTGCCTACAGATTTCAACAATCGACTCCCAAAATACAACGGCTACACTTGTGTTTGTAGCACTCCAAAATACAAAGTACAACGAACCAAATTTAGGTTTATGTACTCCAAGGATAAAATGAAGGAAAATCAAAATAAATGAAATGATTTTGATTTTGGATAGAAGAGAGGATGAGAGATGTTTTGCATATCAAATTGTGTGGAATAGGACATCCAAAGGGTCCTATTTATAGACCATGAAAGGGTGTGGACGAAATGGTTGAGGCCAAACTATGCACCCTTTCTAAACAATGTACCTTTATGAAAAGGTGTCTATTCACTAATGGTTGAGGTCAAACCATGCACCCTTTCCAAACAATGCACCTTTATGAAAATGTGTCTATTCACTGATTTTCGTCCTTTTTCGTAATTTCTCATTCATCCGATATTGGTTTTCGAAATGCCAAATATACCCTTCAATACATGCAGAGAAATCAAAATTCTCTTTTGTGCGTCCCGAAGCGGCGAAGTGGCAAACAATTTTGCCTAAACGGATTGAGTCGAACTTTTGAGTATTTGGCCGAAATCGATACGAAGTCACTTTAATCGATTTTCAATTCTTGATTTATTTAACCAATATCCAACAAATTATTCATTTAAGCCACCTGCCATTAATGTTTTAGAATGTGTTTTGTTCAACTTCGAAAATGGCCAACGGGTGTCATTAAAGGACGATGTACACGTGGGCGTAGTTTACTGTATGTAAAATATAAAGAGTATGTTTGTAGAAGAAGATGAATAGTAAGCAATGAAAGTATATTGTGTTTTCTTGTATATATTTTCCAAGATCCTTTTAATTGATACAAGAATTGCCTATTTATGATGACCAGGCCAACATGGCCACCGTTGGATTGGATCCATGTGGCTTGATCTGTCGACCCTTTGCGTCACATCAACTCTAATTCACATTAATTACTTTGATAGACTTTTGACAAAAGGTCAAGTGGTCAACCACTCTACAAACCTAAGTTGACATCACTTACACTTATTAATTGCACACGTTACATCAGCTCATATCAATAGTCAATTTCTGAAGACGTGCTTGCCCGACCCTCTTTTAGTTGTAAAGGACTTTGGATACCTAGGGAGCTTGGCAGCAGAAGGTAAACCACTTCGATAAGAAAGATAGGGCTACTTCGACCATTCTCAATGAGACAACCTCGGCGCTCATCGTGACAGCTTCAAATGTTGATCCTTTTTATACCAATTCTTGGGTGCTTGTCATGTGTATAAATGTGAGGTTTTCACGTGGATTATTCTGTATTGATCAGTAACAAGGTCTCCATGTTGATTATTCTATATTGATTAGTAACATGTTTGCTTACAAACATGAAATTTACACAAAAAGAAATAAATTTTAGGCAATTAAATTGTCTAGAACTAAAAAAAATGTCACTTAAATATGTTTGTTTGATTTAATTTTTAACCTAGAAAATGTTATACTTGTCTATTTTTTATTGATGGGTAAATGAGAGATAAATGTTGTATATATAAGAGAGAAAAAGAGAGAGAGAAAAAGAAAGAATTAGCTGAAAAATAAAATCTACTCTCTAATAAGAAAATATTTTCCTTGTTTTCAAGGAAAATATGGTTATGTGACCAAAATAAGAAAATTGTTTGTAAGAAAAAATTATCAATCAAATTATACAAAAATAGAAATTTTTATGAAAAATGACATTTTTCATAGAAAATATTGATAATTAAAAGCAATCATACCAACATATTTTGTCATAAACAAAATTAAACCAATTTAAAAAAATAATTTTTTTTTTCTCTTCATTTAGTACAATTCAATACAACGTATTTAACGTGTTTCCAGCACATGGATATTCATATTGCATGATTCTCGTGGCGAATTCCTAGTCAAATATTTATTCAATAAAGAGTTTTATTTTAGTCAAAAAAAAAAAAATATTAATAAAATATTCAATACATGCCACTGCAAAATGGGTTTATTTTTCTTCGTGTATACGTCTCCTCCTGCGGTCCTTCGTTTTTATCACTCTTTCACTCTTCAATTCTCTCTCCCTCTCTGTCTCTCGAAAAAAAAAAAAAAAGTTGGTATTCATGAAACTGTTGTGTATTTAGTTATATATACAGGCCTTTTTCCGGCGATCTTTGATTCCTCCGATCGCCTGCTATCTCTCCAATCATCCACCTGACACTGCTATGTTAACTTTAACTCTAAGTGCCGTGAGTAACGTGCTGATCAAAGATCATGTGAGCTCAAACCCTAGCACAATTTTTTTTTTTTTGATTTCGTATTTATTTAGTTTAGAAATTTTCCTATGGTTTATTCCCGTAGATTTTGCTTTGCTCCGATGCTAGCCTCACTCATTTTTTAGTCATTGTTATTTTGAACTGTTTTTATTGATTTATTTCATTTTATCTATTAGGATTTATTTCGTGTATGGTCGGGTTTTAGCAAAGTATGTCTTATGGTTTTTATGTTGTTGCTTAGCGTTTTGTTTGTTTGACTGATTCTATCTAATATATGGGTTGTGCTTCATGTAGTGATGATTTATATATACATGATGGTAAAATATAACTGGGTCAGAAAATCTTCAATCAAATAAAAAAAATTCCAGGCTCTCTTTTTGATATCTCATTTGTACACAAATCATCATGTAACTCCTTATGTACAAGCAGGGGCGGATCCAGACAGTTTGAGCCGTGGCGTCAAAATTGAAATTTTTTTCGAACAATGTATCATTAACAAAAATAAGACAATATGCTACTACAATAGAATTTGGGTTTGGGCTTTTTGGATATTGGACTTGAGAAATTAATTGGATTGACTCACTATTTTGGCAGAAAAATTACGTTTTAAGCAGGGAAAAAATAAAAAAATAAAATAAAAACTGTGAGGTCATTTGACCCCACATGACCCCATGTGGGTCCGCCAGTGTGTACAAGTAGCATTATTCCTAATATATACTGTACGAATGCATTGGATCTAGTGTTTGTTATGTTTCCTGTAGAATTAGTTGCGATGTTCAGTTTAGACTGAATAATTGCCTTTGTATTGATATAACAGTGCCCTTTAAATTTGATTGCATGTTACAAGATTGTATGAAGTGTGTTTTGTTTTTATGTTTTAACTTCCTTTTATGTTCCTAATCTGAGTTCTGGTTCCAAAATAATGCATTGATAAGCTATTCAGGTTAGTTTTATATTAATATGAATACATATGAAATGCAGAGAAACATGGCCTATTAGAGCAGTAGGCAACATCTTTTGACATTTGAAAAGTGGAGTCCAATCACAGTATTAAATGTGATGCTTCAGTGATTGGGCTTGTTATGAGAGAGACTACAGTTTGCTCACTTTTCTTCTTTTCAGCTCATGAGAAAAATATTTATGTTTTTTGCCCAAATCTTAGAATGTGTTTCAACGTTTTCCATGTTGAAGACATTCTGGACTTACATTTTAAACTGCTAGCATATATTAAGGCTTGATAGGCTTGAATAGATTCATGCAAGTACTTGAGTTGGCATTAAGGTTTTCCATACATTGTGACATGCTGGTGATATCAACAGGTGACAGACCGAGTTGCCTGCATCTTTATTCCAATTATAATTGGTTCAACACCAAGCAGTCTGTATACCTCTTATTCTGGTTTTTTGGTTGGGACATTAGCAGCTAAGATATGTTTGTACTGAAATCAGTCCATCGGTTGGGATCTATGAAATGCCTCTAACTTTTATGAGTAGGAGCACTGAACGAAATACAGGTTTTCTCAGCCATATATATCAGGGCTCTGTGACAAGTCTTTGAACATTCAAGGAAACATTTCAAATGAAGGCTAATGAAGAATAACAATTGACTAGGTAGGACCAAACTAGTTTTGTGTTAGTATTGGAAAATATATATTTAGACTCCGTGAACTTGCTGTAGCTATCCATTGCCCTTATCATATGTGCATTCATCATCTGAATTATCTCCTTATATTTCATTCTATATACCTGTATGGTTTATGATATGAACGCTTGTCAATACGTTGTGTGTGTCTACTAGATTCGACTTCCTACATCCCATATATATGACTGTTGGATCCAGGTTTTTTTCCTCAAAATGTGATTGTTTCAGTAAATCTCCTTAAATAGTTGGTTTGTGATTGAAGAAATTTGTTAAATTTGAAGAATGTAAATCTCCAATTAATTAATTATTTCTATTTTTATTATTATTATTTTTTAAATTGTTAAGATGAAAGTAATTTGCTTTCCTTCTCTGATTAAATAAATATGTTATTTTTTAAATGTTTTAGCGGGTATATTTCCTTTTCTGTTCATAGACCTTCCCATTTCATCCTTGTGACTGATGCTTGTTTTTTATTTGTAATTAGTTGAAGCATAGATGTCAGTAGCTAAACTCAGCACAAGTGGAGCTCTCAATGCTATGAAAAAAGAAGAGGGGAATGATTCTCTTGACACTTTCAGCAGGCAAGCTATCCAAAAGGAGCCTCTTCTCTCTTTCTCAAGGACAGGTGACAGCCCAGTCCAGTGGATCCAGTTCCTTAACGCCTTAGATCAGCCAGGTACCGAGCTACTAGCTGGAGTCTTGTGTGCATGAACTTGTCCATGGGGTTAAGGATTTATTTTTGTTATTTGAATGTAATGGACAACTGTGGGAACAAGAAAGAATGCTTCTGGACATTCATCTCTGAAATGCCAATGGCTGTTGGTGCCTTTGATATGCATGTTGCAAAAGCCAATGGTTAATGGGTTAATTTTATGAGACATTTTGTAATTTGTAAGCAGATTGTTGAAATCGTCTTTTTACTCAATCAGGAATATTGATTTGTAGACTCTCCTTTTTGTGCAGATCTCCCTGGTTGGCCCCTGCTGACTTCTCTGAAAGTTACAATCAAAAAGTGCAAGAAGTGTTCCCGGGAGTTTTGTTCACCAGTTAACTACAGGAGACATATTCGTGTGCACCTGCGATCTTTAAATGTCAATAAGGTTGTCTGAGTTTTAGACGACTTATTATTTAATTAGATTCATACATGCAATTGTGTGCTTGTGGATATATTAATTCTTCTCTATTTGCTCGTTCCCTCAAGACAGGTCGAATATTTTCTTCCTGACCATATGTTCTACAATATCTCTGATGTTATAACTTATACGGTGTAGGAATCTCACAAAAATAGAGATTTATTGGCTGCATTTTGGGATAAGGTATTACTTATCTCGGTTTCCACATCTTTTTTTTTTTTTTTTTGGTATTGTTGAATGATTATGTTGTGTTGGGTATAGCTTTCAGTGGAGGAGGCTAAGGAAGTTCTATCCCTCAAGGATGCATCGCTAAAGGTTGTAACTGGTTCTTCCCTATCAACTGTACATATATTTATATACACGTGTTCATGTCTGGACTAAAGTTCATGAAAGTTCTTATCTTTGATAATTCTTTAAGGTGGTTGATTTTTGGGAACCAATGGTTGTGAAAATTGTCATCTATAATGAAGAAAATACAGTAGTTTGTGTAAACAGTATTGGTCTTGAAATTTCCTGTAGTTAATTTTCTGAATTTTTTGGCTTTAAATTTCATTCAAACTTGCATTTAATTCACTAGTCAAGTTCTGTTTTAGCATGGTCTTAATTGAAAAATATTCAGAAGTTCCATGGAGATTTCATTGAGAAACATATTTATAAATGTACTGCTCCATTGTACATATTCTGAAAGAATTGTTTTTAAATTCATGTAATTAAGATAATTCTCCCTAATTTTGGTTCTCCCATCACAAGGATGTCAACATAATTTTCTACGTTATAGGAAGTTATTTAGCTTGACTTTATCTTCGCCTTTCTTTTGAAATTACGTGTTTCTGTCATTATAGTCACAATAGACTTCTTTTAAGTCAAATATATGTTGAGTGCAAAGAGTCAAAATATTTTGCAGACAGCAATGTGCATGGAGAGATTATTCTATTCGAGTGTCAACATTCATGAATGACATGAAAGTGATCTATAAAATTTTGGGAATACTTGATTTTATTCTTAATTGTGGAATATGACAAGAGTAATGCTATCTATCTAGTTTGCTAAAGATCAGGTCCCTACGTTTTAGATTTAATATCAATTAATGTCATTTAATTGTCACCCAAACTGTTAATGATCAGCAGTCTAGATAGATAACATTACTCATTAGCAATGCTTAGAAATTGCAATTTCCCCATTTTCCATTCCCTTTTTTTATGTAGAGTGAATTTTCTTCTATCTCCAAATATTAATTTGAAATAGATATATTATTGACTTCAGGAAATTCCTAGTTCATCAGTCATTAGGGCTTTGGCATCCTCTCTCCACCAGCCAGGTGTTTGGACTCTTCCACAGGTTTATGTGAGAGCTGGCTCCACATTATTGGTAAGGGAGGTTTTGTTGATCGTCCTGCCTGCCCCTTAGTCTCACCTCTTCAATATCATCTTATTTGAAAAAATTATTTCCCTTCTCATTGTCATTTTTATAAACTTTGCAGGATATTATTCAAGCCAATTCTTCCAGGCTTCCAATATCCTCACAGGAATTGTTTAGTATCCTAGATGATGCTAGTGAGAATACATTCTTATGTGCTGGTACAGCTGAGTCTCTGCAAAAATATGTTTTTGATGAGGAAACTGCTAGACATAGCCTTAAGTTGACGAACTTAATTGCTTGCACCACCTTTCTTTTCGAACAGCAACTGGTATTTCCTCTTTTTTCTCGTTCTTTCCCTGTTGGTATGTTTACTTACTTTGAGTTGCCTCTTTTTGTATCTCATTTATAAAAAGAGCATCATGCACCACGCATACATTTTATTTGCAAGGTTTTATGCTTATGGGACTTGAAATTTGGAATTTAATTTGAGAAGTATGATATTAAACCCCATGATTATGTTATATATTTTACGAGAGTCATACCTTAAAAACTAGTTGTTGAAGTTGGAGAGCCCAAGTCTATATAAACCATGCACCGAAAATCTATACTTTCGATATGGAATCCAAATCCCATAACTTACAATGAGAAATATGACAAAGCACCATGCTCCGCGATACTGGCTCTCATGTTGGACTGTTTTTGCACTAGCCCGTGACTAGTCCCAAGTGAACATTGCTATGTTGGTGTCACCATCCTCACCTGTCAATTGTAACCAGGAGACGTGGTGTCTACTCTATCTTAGGAGACTCATATTTCAAAAGCTAGTTGTTGAAGTTGGAGAGCCAAGTCCATACTTTCGATGTGGGATTCAAGTTCCATAGCTTGCAATGGGAACCAGAATATGTCTAACTTGCGTACGAGTATGCACTTTTCTTCACTAGCATCCCTTCTGCTTTCAAGAACCAAATATTATTATTATTATTATTATTATTATTATTATTATTATTATTATTATTATTATTATTATTATTATTATTGGTTCTTCTCTTCTTTTTCACTTTTTTAGTAGGGTGTTGGGGGGTGGGGGGGTGTTACATGTATACCTTTTTGGATGGCTTGCCTTTTGTCCCTGGAATGATTTATAAGGATATACAACTTCTTTTAAGCCACTGCAATGTTGTTATCAGGTGAAAGCATGGATAGATGACAAAGATGCAGAGGCTTTAAGATGTCAGAAGTTGCTTGTGGAGGAGGAAGAAGCTGCACAGAAAAGGTAGGTTTTGTTAGTCAATAAATGAATTTTATAATGGGGGCAGTGTGTGTAAATGGAGGGTTAACATGTGATGCTTGAAACTCGCTGAATATATCTATCTTTATCCAGTACACGATACCTGTGCTCTATAACCTAAAATTCGATTACAGATGTTGCATGTTGTTATAAGTGGGGGATCTAAGTTTCATAGATCGAATTATCAATTTTTAGGATCCTGGGAATTATATGAAAAGAGGATCTTATTTGTAGATACTGGCACTTGGTCACGCCATTCTTAAAATGAGTAAGCTACCATTCTACATTCTAAAGATGTTGTACATAATATTGGGAATATGATAAAAAAATTTGAGTAATAAATATTGCATCTTCCAGAATGAACAATATTATGGCTGAAAAATGATGAGACAAGAAACAGTGAGTAAATTTTGTCGTTTTACATGTTAAAGCATCAATTCATTTTTGAATATGGGTATATAGTCTGAATCATGTTGACCCACATGGGTATGCACAGTAAGAGGAGAGTTGTAGTAATGTAGCTTTTGTTGGTAGTTCCTGTTCATGCATTATTGTTATCTCACAATGAGAACTCTCCGATCTGTTATATGGAATATGCAGCAGCATTGTTTAGTTTTGTTGAGCTAGTTTATTTAATTGCCTTTCTATTGGAAATTGAAGCCATTCTGGTGAAGTTGTAAGACTGGGGAAAAGTTTTATATCTGCTTATGATATTGACAGCAAAACTTGTGTTTTTGAATTATGACTAATCCAACGATGTGTCGAAGCTCAATCCTAGACACTATATTCCTTCCTCAGTCCTGTTCTATTGGAAGTTTGAATGCTTCACCAATTGATTGTGCCATTCTGAAAACAGGCAAGATGAACAATTGGAGAGAAAAAAACAGAAAAAGCTCCGTCGGAAGGAACAGAAAACAAAGGATCAATTGAATGCATGCAAGGAATACTTGAATATCTCTAATAATGCACTAGACGAGTTTCTCTCAGCAGAAGTGCCCGACCCTACATCTTCATCAGATTCCAATTTGAGTTCTCCAGACATGCCAGTAATTGTTTCTTCTTGGCCCAAATCCATTCAGTTTACAAGTGAAGCAATAGATGTTTCTGAAGCTATGTTTGATTTCAGCAGCGAACATATTGACGCAGACAATTTCCAGACCGTTGAAACCCAGAAGATGGACTCAGATGGCCGTTGGCATTTAGCAACCAATAGATGCCAGGTGACAAAGTCACAAAAGGGTGATCGAAATGGCTTTTACGTTAGTCATGATCTTGAAGGATTGAAATCTGAAACCATACAAAAGCTTACTCCTAAAGATCATGGGACTCTACTTAATGGCAGCAAAGCTTGGACCAAGAAATTTAAAGTGGATAATGATGACCAGAACTCAAAACCTAGATTGCAGGAAGAGACCAGTAACCAAACTGATAAAAATAGCTTTAAGGTGATGATTGGTTCTATCTCCGTCACGCTAAGTAATCCTGACGAAGTGCAATATACTTGTAGCACCAAACGTGCCATACCTAAGAAAAGTGATGTTCTGGAGAAGATAGGTAAACATAGTGCCGGTAAGCCTTTGATTCCTGTGAACCGGCATGAAACTAGTGGTATTTGTCCAGTTGATAAAGGTGATGAAGAATCTGAAGGGAGCGTGTTGGATAAGGCTGGCGATCAAACGGTGTGCGTTGAAAGATGTATGCAATCATGCTCTATCGACAGTGATGACCGAGATGGTGGAAAGCACAGCAATATTTTTTCAGATGGAAATACTAAACAAAGAGGTTTATCTTTCTGCAGTGTTGCTGCAAAAGAGTTTCTTTCACAGAGTACGTCTATATCTTGCCGTTTTATGTTTTAGTATCATTTTATGCATCAAACTTGCACTTCACAATCTGGTTGGCTTCAAATATGCAGGACGGAAGGAAGTTATGTCATCAAATCATGTGAAATTAGTTCTGTTCTCAGAGATAGAACCTCCATTATTCTCCGGCGCTGAAGACGACAACTTCACAAAGGCAGCACAAACATTGGATTTTCATGAAGGCACTGTCAATGGCAATGCTGAGACTTAGCAGCACCCCCTAGGCCTAGAAGCGTCAAGCAGAAATGCTCAGATTAAGATCAGAAACAAAGGTAGAAAAGATATTTTAAGATTAATAGACATACCCAAACAAAATGCTGTTGTCTTATTAGAGTATGTATACCCAATTTTTTAACCTATTGCCCTTACATTCTCAGCAGGGGTTCCAATTTTAACCGGGTCTTCTGTCATTAACATGTACGTATCCATAGACGATCTACTATGTTGATAAACATTTTCATTTTCTTTTTAACTAAATTGTTTGGTTGGAGATGAATGGAAATAAACCCCAAATTGAAATGCGAAAGGAAATCATAAATAAAATGGAAGATTTTGTCTTTTTGAAAGTAGGAGATTGTGAGAATGTAGTATTACATTTTAGCTCTTTTACAATTTTCTTAATGTTTGCTAGTATTTTTGTTTGTCAACCAAACAATTGACTTCGTTATTTTAAATTGCCACATTATTCTGATACAAGCATAAACAGTAAGTAAATGTGTCATCATCTTATTCTTTTCGTGGGATAGAATAATATTATTTGACACAGTTCATGTAAAACACAATCTATGTGGCATATTAGAATCATTAAACGATGATTCAATTAAATGGAGTTCAATTGAATTTATGTGAGTCAATTTCATTTAATGCTCGTTTAATTGCAAGCCATCCAAGTGCATTTGGTGCCAAATCAAAGTTTGATTACAAGCTTTGCACCATCAAGAGAGCCATTCTTGACTCAGTTTATCTAAACCCATCCTCGACAAATCAAGTAGGTGTGATGTCATAATGTGATTAGCTTTACCTTCTAATCGAGGATTCCTCTACCACGAGGCAACACTTCATGCCACCTCGGAGGTCAAGGGTCATTAGATCACCTTGGGGCTCAGAGGCTAGAGGCACCACCTCGATCCTAGGGGCCCACTCGCCAACCTCATGCATATAGTTCGATGTCATATCAAAGAGTGCTTAATGGCAAAGTCGTAATACAACTTTACTAGTTTAGTACTTAATTACACCTCAACAAAGGTAGAACAATCCTTATTCCAATCCCGATTCGTACAATCACTTGCACTATGACTCAAGTGTGAAAATCCTAGTCCATCAAATCTTATGTAATCTCACGTGTTGGAGTCCAATTAGGTGCATGTTTGGCAAAGTTTAAATTATAATTTAAATTGATCGAATATACTTTTTATCCATACATTTTGTAAGACTTCCAACTTTTTTTAAAATTTTTTTTTTTTTTTTCAAGGGATCTAAGGATTTTACTTATCCACACAAAAGGAGGCTTGACTCAAGTTATCAATTTGGTAAGACTTCGTTCTTACCATTTAAGTTAAGCATTAACTTAATAAGAACTTAAAAGCATTATAAGACATGCTATAGGATTACATCATGAAATAATATAAATACACATTCCTAGTTCATTATTTATGTACAATTTATTGTTCTACCCATATATTATACTCTTCCTAAAGCATCAGATGATGGCCCCATTATCACCCCTCATGTCTTTGTTTTAGGTACTCAAAAGCTAAGCTTTAGATCGACCCTAAGTTTAAAATCGAACATATAGCACCAAATGTAGGTCCACCCTATCTCATTAGATCGAGGCAAATCTTACCTTATCGGGTGAATGTCCAGCCTGACTATTCAAGACCATCTGCTCAATGTGTAAAAAAATGTATTCCATAAATACAAGTTTGATAAGGTTTTTTTTTTTTTTCATGGAAAATGGAGAAATTTTTTTTTTTATTTCTACCAAAAATGTATGTTTGATGGCCAAAAAATTCCATGGAATTGATTTTCCAATTACCCCCAAGTGACGTGATTTTCTTGGTTTTTAAGGAATTCAATTTCCTTTGGTTTTGGTGGAAATTGAATTTCGAGCTTCTTTTTGTTTTTAAATTCTTTTTTTGGGCAATGAAAACAAATTCTATTTATAATTGTAACAAATTTTATCATTTTAATTGACAATTTTCATGAAAAATAAAGTCAAACGAATACCAAAAGATCCAAAATTTCAACATTTTTAAGGTGAAAAATTATACCAATCAAACACATTTAATTGACAATTCTCAATAAAACAAGTTCTAAACAATTTAATTCCTTGGAATTCATTTTTTTTTTTACTCAAATTCCATTCTTACAATCAAATTTAACTTAAACTTATTCCTAGATATAATTACCTGTATTAATCCACATTAATTTTATTTATAAAACTACACAAAGTCGCTTGACCACCTCCATCATCATTATTATTATTATTTATTTATTTATTTATTATTATTATTTTATTTCTTTTCAGAATTTAGCGTTGGAAGATATATAATTGACTTGCTCACTGTCACCATCTGCCACGTGTATTTCTCATATTTTGCCTTGACACCTCTGTCTTGGCGACTTTATTTTCCTGTTTCAAGAAGATAAAGAAAACCTCCCTTGTTTCAAACAATTGATTTCCTTTAGAGAAATTAGCTGAGAAAAATGTCCAGTGGAGTTGGTCCGCCCAGAGATATAGGTATAGCTAAAGAAGAAGTGCTAGAACCCTCCTTAATCGACAAAACCGCTCTAAAAACGGCCTTAAAATCACCAACTCCTTGCGACTTCTTCACTTTCCGGTAGCTTACTGCCGTCACTGTGATCATCATCGTATCCGCCAGCAGCTTGGTAAGCATCGAAGACATAGCTAACAGAAGAAATTTCCCCAGCTCAGCTCGGTTTATCCAGCTGTAAACAAATAAGTTAGGAAGTTAGTTAGTTAGTGGTTTTTCATTACCGATTCGGGTTTTCATCCTGATTTTCTACAATTCGAGGAGGATTTTCAAGGTGATGGAGTGATTGAGGATTGAAATCTCCAAGGCAGAAGACGGCGGCAGTTGGAGGGTGACAGTTGGGAGAGCTATTGCGGTGGCAATTGTCAAACATGGTTTATTGGAGTTTGGATTTGTTTGGATTTTTGCTGCTGGTTTTTCTTCCGAAGGCCTTCAAAATATATAAAAAAAGGTTGAACCCCAATCTTGAGGGCTCCCGTCGTCTCGCTCCTAGAACTTTGTGAGGGAGGTAAATCGCAGGATGTACCCCATCAGGCCAGGGAAAAAGAGCTGCCTGTACACTGCACCTACAAGGAGTTCAATTCCATATCTCAGAAATCGAACTCTTACACTGCGACTGCAAGCAAGGTGTGAGATAACCTCACTCCTGTCCTTTGCACCACTGGGTTATGTCCCGAGGGTGGCCTTCGAAATATATTAATATGCATCAAGATTAAGGACTAAACTGTTTGCAATGTCTCTTTTGCCATTGGCAAATCTCCTTTCCACAATTAGGTGTTGTAATTGTATATTGTAGGTCGTTATTTTCTTTGTTTTTTTGATTAATAATGCAATACTTTTTATTTTTAATTTTTTTTTCTTTTTTTATTTTTTTGGCGTCAAACCTCTTTGTTAAGAGCATGTTCGGCTAAGTTAAAATTATCTTCAAATTACGAGGAGGTAATAGTAATTGCAACAAATTATTTCAACTTATTTGGCAATCAAGTGCTCCTGAAGATTGATTTGTCAAAATAATTTAAATGGTATTTAATAAATTTGAAGATCATTTCCCAAGCAGATTTGAGAAGTAAAAACAGACAGATGGGCATTGCTGAACTATGAAGAAATGAAATTGATTCCCGTAGACAAGATAAAAACTTCCCATTGCCAGTAGGACAAGACAACCCTCTGAGTTCTGAAATGAAAAAAAATATAAGGTTTTCTTGCCGTAATAATTGTGAGAAATTTTTATCCTGTTCAATGGAAAGCAAAATTGAACAAAAAATCAGGCCTGAACGAAGAAAATCCTAACTAAACTCAAATTTTGTTTCCATGAATTAACCAATTCTAGGCCAGTCGCAATGCGTGTCGACATGTTAAGCATAAGATTCTTGTTCTTGGAAATTCACACTCTTCCAAACCCAAAAAATGGACGGAATTCTAGGATTCCTCCTTGAAGATGGGATAAACATTTGGGGAGTCGAGTAGGCTTTTTAAGGATAGTGGGCCTTGAACCCTCGCGATTTTTTGAGTATTTATTTGTTTTCTTATTAAACGAATGAATATAGTTCATTGAAAACTAGTATCGTCGAAGAACTTCAGATGTTCTATATGGTCGGTTAGACAATTAATTATTTGATCAATCAATCCCAGAAAGAGAAGATATAGAATTCAGGGAAAATTGCTACATTCTCTGTACAGCCTTTGCAGACTGGAAGACAAAAATAGTTAGTTCTACACCTGCTTATTGTCCGTACGCCCTTGCTTTTTTCTTCTCTTCTATTCTATGCAAAATAAAATAAATATATATTTTCCAGACCAAAGATTCAGTGCAGGATCAGATATACATCTGAAGCTATCATTCCCAGCCAAATTAATTTTTCATTTGAACTTTATGAAAGCCAACATGATTGTGCAAGGTCACAAGTGTTTGCAGCCGCGTCCCTTGTCGCACGAAGTGACTTCATAGGCAAGCTTCCTTGAACGGAATCGAAACAAGTTATACTCCATACATGCGGTGGTTTGCCATTGGAGAGGAAGGATTCAGATCAAAAGATGGATTCAGCTTAATGGGATCTCTTAGGAGTTGTTGAGATAAGCGATCAGCCAAAATGAATTGTCTGTCGTACATTTCTCCATTCACGGTCATTCGAGCATGTTTATCATTTGATGTCAGATCCCAAAAAGCATTAGTTCCAGACTTGGCAGTTCGAAAAATGTTGGGATCCCAGTAGGGTGGGTTATTGACACGGGGACTGGGCGGCACCTTTGGCAAGTTGGGAAAATTGTCTTGAGATATTATAGATTGATTAAATGGGATGGAGCAAGTCCCACCGTTCAGAGGTGTGGAAGAGCCAGAAGTTTTGAGGGGGCTAGATATGGGCGACGGAGACATCCTCCCATTTGGGTACTGAGGTGACCTTGAATGTAGAAGAGGACTCCCAATTGGAGAGACAGGGCACGATACATTCCTAGGAATACAAATATCACTGGAAAATATTTAAAAATAAAAAAAATAAAATCAGTGAACAAAGCCAATTATCACTGTATCTTCATCCTTTACCATGTATCAAAAATGTTATGATGCATTAACAAAGGCTTTGACTAATTACTTTCGGTTGAAGAAACGGCGGGGAGTGTTATGCACCAGAGAGGGTGGGAGGGAGGAAGAGAGAGAGAGAGGAGCACCTGGAATGGAACTTAGAATTTGATACTCTAGATGAGTGGATAGCAAGTCTGTCCGAATCCAAGAGTTGAAGACTTCTCGTGTGTCCAATGCCCTGTAGGTAATTTGAAACCAAGTGGCAGTAAATATATGAAGTGGCCAAAATGTCTCAAGTGACAAGCAAGATACAGTCCAACTCAAAAATCCTTCAACAACAATGTAACAAAATACCAGGCAACACATAAAGATTCAACTTGAAGTTCACATGTTGCATATAAACAAGTGTCAAGAATGATTATTGATATGGAAGAGAGAGGGCTTCACAACCCTGATTCTCTATGCCAATCAAGTCTGTCTGTCTTTCTCAAGGTTTTGTAAGGGATTGCTTGAGCCCCATTTTTTGAAAGAATAGATATTGTAATAGTGAGTTTTTTGAGAATGTATCCATTAAAAAGTAGTAAAAAATTTTGGGTATACGGGTAAAATCGTTCTATTGAGAAAATGTGTGGTTGAAAATAAGTTGGGGAAAAATCAGTTTTTAAAGAATGGGGATAAAACAGGGGGAAATTGTTTGCTAAGACGGAGGAGATTAGTATTGTGAAATCACACAGCTAGGATTTTCCCTTTGCACCCAACCCAGTGAAGTTGCTGTGAGGTCATAGAACTATTTTGTTGTCATACTTCCAAAAATTGTTTCCGCTAGCCAGAAATTAGGCCTGAAAACGTAATAAAATATTGATCTGAGTGAAACAAAATAGATTACAATTACAAATCTCAGCACATTGAAGAAGTGACATAAAATAGATAACAATCCCGTAGATTTTACAGCATTAGTTACCACGGGAGGATCTGGAGGTGTAGATCCAAATTTGGAGTTTTCTGGAAGCATGGCACTTTTCACAAAAGGGTGATCCAAAAGCTGAGCAGCAGTAGGACGATGCGAAGGATTCCGCTGCAGGCACTGCCTCACAAAATCCTTGCCTTTATCCGAGAGATGTTCTGGAATTGTAGGGAGTTCTTTACTATTCCCAATCTTGAACATGGCCTGAACCTTCAGGACAGAACACAAAGCATCAGACAAATAAGGTCCAGAGTACTTATTCCAGATCATAGCAAGTTAACATTTATCAAACAATATGAAGTTAGATGAGAAGGGAAAGGTACAACACTGACATCCATCAGACATGCTAACTAAAAAAAATTGATTTCATAGAAAATCAGAGCTCAAATTACAGACCCCTTCATACTGGCTCCAAGGAGGCTTTGATAGGGCCATTTCCAAAACGGTGCATCCGAGACTCCATATATCAACAGCAAGGCCACACCCTTTTGAATTCCTTATGACCTAAAAAAGCAGGATAGAAGAAATGAAATCATAGAGCTCGAAAGAAAGCCATATAGCAGATAAAAATGAAGGAAACAATTATCTCCCACCTCAGGTGCCATCCAATAAGGACTGCCCTTAAATGACAATGGACAGGTCTGCCCCGTAATCTGTAAAACAGAAAAGTGCACATAACCGCTAATACCATCATGGGATGAAAATTCTATTAAATGAGAAAGAAACAGACAAGAAATATTTGTAATAACATTAATATCAAGATGTGTAATAGACTTAAAAAATTAAGAGTTTGCTAGCTAAGATGACAGGAAAAACAAATGAAGGAAAAAAAAAAGGTCTTGTACAGCCACATAGTGCTAATTTTGAAGTCAATTAATTATAAACAGCGATTATCACTAGCTGATTTTCCTTATTGCAGAGTTCTTTAGGAGTCACATTATCTGATAACACTTCAAAGATCACGCTTATCAATCTGTGTTGCCTCCATCTTTCCTTGCGTTTGGAAAATTGCAGGCAGTTCCCATTACATAATTCTTCGAATTTTCTTTTGCAGCAGTAAGCCCTTGAATTGGACCATTCATTTCATGACCATTAAAAAGTTAATGAAGGAAAATCAGAGAGAAAGCCACACTTACATGCTTTGCCATGCCAAAGTCAGCCAACTTGACACGACCAGTTGGATCCACAAGGATATTAGCCCCCTTAATATCCCTGCAATATATAAACAGCATAAGTGCAAGACAACATGCTTAGAAATGAAGTATGGTTCACATCCATGTTAGAAGTGGAAAATTTATCCAAATAAAGGAAACCAAATTTACCTATGCACGGTATTTTTGTCATGCAGATATGCAAGCCCCGACAAAATTTGTTGAGTATAACTACAGATAGCTGATTCTCTCAATCCTCCATAATCTTGTAGAAGCTTATGGATGGAACCACCAGACATATATTCCAAATAGATATACAATTTATCATCCACCTAATCGCGCAAAATAATTTCAGAAACTTTACAAGAACAGCCTTATGACCAATGTTGTAAATATGGCAGTTCATGCAGAAAACAGTAAAAGGTGTATTTCCACAAATTTCATAATACATTGAAGAAATGTGCCTACTAAGTCAACTAAAAGTGCTTTCTATAACTAAATATGCAGTAAGACATTTGTTGACATAGTTGACTCAAGTCTGAAGATTATACATGAAGCATCATCATTATAGGAGGGATGACAAGGATGCAAGAATATAACCGACCGTTTCAGATCCATAATACTGCACAATGTTTGGATGCCGTAAACGGCTCAATAATGTAATCTCCTGTAAGAAACAGAAAGGATTGTAATAGACATGAACGGATAAAACCGACTCGATACTTGCAATCAATAAAAACCTCTCCTTGCATCTAATGACTTAAAAATTCACCTGTCCCAACTGCTTTGCGCTTTCCTTCGATTTCGCATCATCTGAGAATAATGTGACCTCCTTCATAGCACACATTTCGCCAGTTTCACTGAAGCATCATCAGGCCATGTGTATTATAAAAATCAATAATCAACTTTAGGAAATGAATAAATTGAAAAACTAACAAATGGTTACATAATAAATATGTCTAATAACTTAATAAATGGTACAGATGGTTTAAGAATTCCAATGATATGTTATAAGAACAAAAACCTTCCATCTAAAAGAAAAAAGAGAAGCAAATAATGAATTTTATATAACATATAATAACTCTGAAAGCAATGGAGAAAAGACTGAATCCCGCACCTATGAAAACCAACATAAACATGCCCAAATGTGCCTCTACCAAGCAATTTTCCCTTTTTCCAACGTGAGCCAGGGCTTGTAAGATTTTCTACTCGTCCAGGACTTCGCGGTACAGAAGGCGATGTAGCCCCTGAATTTGAATGAGAGAACATTGAGGAATTTGAACTTGTTACGGGAGGAAGGGGCAAGCGATGGCATTGTTGTTTTGTTTCATCAGGCCAATTAGTCTGCGATTCAGTGTGTCCCCCTCCAGCTCCTGTATATTCTAGCCTTTGATATTTATTGTTCCTCCACACCGACCGAAAAACAGAACCTTAGAAATTCAAGCAAGCAACAATCGATGCGCAATTGAAGAACTAGAATTGAAGTTCTCAGAGAGAGAAAGAGAGGGAGAGTAGCGTTAGAGCAGGAGAGAGAAGCGAATGATTATTGTGATAATAATAATATTAATAATTGGACTCTGCGTAACAAATTTATGGAAGAATCTTAATTGGAATTTAATTAATGGCATTGGCATTTTTATTTCTTATATTATATTTTAATTGCAATTAGATCCTCAAATTTTACTCATTATAGTAATTATTTTCTTAACTTTTTCATCAAACCTTATCTTCAATCTTTCATTAATAAATACATATTGCCCTTGGCGATAATTTACGTCAAAATATTTTGTTTCCATGATTTGATATGAGAAAAAATATTTTTCGGTTCTTTTATAACTCGTTAATTATTTTCCGTATTGACTTTTGGGAAAAAATTGTTGGATTAGTCAGTAACGAGGTGGTCTTTACCAAATTAGTCCTTGATCTTTCATTATAAAAGCATCAAATGCAATAATATGAATTTGGGTTCTCTTATTCATAATATATAAAAAATAATTTTCGTAAATAAAATTCATTTATTTATTATTTAATAATTCCTCGTAAATTTTAGTTGAAGTGTTATTTAACCATATTTCTCAATGTGATGTTCATAATAAGAACCAGACAAAAACCCGTATTTCAGGCATTAGAACTTGAGCTAGATACTTATAGAACCTCAACACAACATAGAAATTGCTCAACCCAAAAATAGGCCTATCGAGATATACAGGTGCAAAGGGCATGTGTCGAGTTTGTTTACCTTTCATTATAATATCCTTATAATTTAAAGGTTAATTTCAAATTTTAGTCTTAACTACACATTTTATAGGATTTACAATTATTATCTACTACTCATTTTATCACATTATAATTTTTACAACTTATAATGAAACTCAAACAAGCACTAAGAGAATAGTCGACTAGTCAAATATATCCAAGCCTTAGAAAAGTAAATACTTTGTTAGTATAGGCATCATAACTTGCTTTTAATGATTGAGCACCCTCACCGATTGATATTTTGCTAAAACTTCACCATATATTAGGTTATTTTACTCATAGTTTTTAGATCCAATATGAGCACTGATTGGGATGATGATTAGGTCAATGGTTCAATTGCTAACCACGAGGTCGAATCGAGAATTAACTCCTATCATATATATCCAGTGGCGGATCTAGGATTAGAGATTAGTTAGAGTAGTCATTGACCTTTGATTATTAACCGTCAACAATCAACGACAGTAATAGTGAGTCGTTTATAAATATTTAATATTTAACAACTTGTGTGCTCGACTAGAAGTAGTGACAGGATTAGATGCACCACTAGAAGAACTAAGTTGGGACTTTCGTTTCGGTTGAAAAAATCGTTCCATAATCTATGTGAAAATAAAATTTAAAACATGTATTATAAAATGAGAAGTTTCAATTTTCAACATCAATTTATTATTTATCACAAATCACAAATATCCAATTTATCCATTACATTTATCACAAACAAATCACAGTCCACAACCACATATTATCACATATTCTCACATTCATAAAATTCCCAATTTTCATAAAACATAAACCTCGGCAGTCAATAATCATAACTCGTAAAACATAAATCATAACTCATAAATGATAAATCAATGAACTAAAGTCTAAAAGAACAAAAAAAAAGGGGGAGAGGCAAGGACTATAAGCTCACGAGTCACGAAGAGGCGATGTGGCAAAGACTTGTTGGCAGTCGACACGACAGTAGGTCAGATGGCTTAGGTTGAGTTAGTACACGACAGGAGGCAATTTGTAGCCACTTCCTTGCTTTGTTATTTGAAATGTAATTGAATTGTAAAAGAATACAATTATACAAGTGGAAATTACTAGAAGCTCACGAGTCACGAAGAGGCGATGTGCAAAGACTTGTTGGCAACCGACACAACAGTAGGTCAGATAGCTTAGGTTGAGTTAGTACACAACAGGAGGCGATTTGTAGCCACTTCCTTGCTTTGTTATTTGAAGTATAATTGAATTGTAAAAGAATACAATTATACAAGTGGAAATTACATAACCCTAAGTGTTTAAAGATTACAATTAAAAATCAGAGATGAAGTTTCGTTATTCACAAATTAGGTTTCAAAACACACCTCACCCACCCATCTATCAAAACTCTATCATTTCCATAACTCTCTCTACTATCCCCTTCTCTCTCTCTCTGAACATCAACGACGACGTAAAGGATTTGCACCGATCGACGATGAAGGATTTACCCCAACCGACACAAATGGCATCGAGCTGTTAAGATTTCTCAGTAGGGTTGATGCTACTGTGAACGACAGCACATCACCTCCAAGAGTCGCTACAAGGCCTCACTTGATGTGAAAGTCAAGCATCGACATCGTCGCTGTTGTGCGACGCCTTCGTAGTTGACGATGTGAGCACCAACAGAGGCATCGCCCTCCCTGCTGCTACAGTTTGGTAGGGAGTTTTTATGGAAACTTGCTTCTTTTGATGTCTCAACTATCTAAACCAATTTTGGGTGATTTTGGGGTGGTTTGGGTGATATGAGATGGTGGCAAATATGGTAGTACAGAGAAGGTAAAATGGTGGTGTTGGATAGGGCAGTGGTGGTGAGGTGATAGTGGTACGATGGTAGTGGTGCAGGTTGTTTTTGGTAGCTTGCAAAATAGTGGTGGTAGTGGCGACGATGGCGATTGTGGTACGTTTTTGTTGGAGTGGATCAACATTTTTAACCTATTAAATAGTTAATATGCGAGTGGAGATGGTTGTTCATGGCGAAGGTGGTTATTCGTGGCTTGAGATCTGATAGTGGTGGTTGTGGTGGTAAAGGCTTTTGTTGGTGGTGGTGGCAATTGTGGCAAGAGAGAGTGGTCGTAGTGGTAATGGCAGTGGTATGTGATCCACTATTTCGTATATGTAACCAATTATTTAACTTTGATCTAAAAATTTGATAATTTGTAACTGTGACTAACTAATTTGAAAATCTGTGACCGACAAATATATTGTGACCTATAATGTTTTTAATATATGACCGACGGAAAAATCTGTGACAATTTATTTGATAATATGTAATATAACTTATAAGTACGCATCTGTGACTATGAATTATATAATTGTGATCTTGATATATTTAATTAGAAAAATATTTTTAATTAATTAATTAATTAATACCTAATTTTTGAATTTTGAAACTTAAAACTTGATAATTGAATTGTTCGTGCTTAATACATGACTTGTGAATTTTCCCATTATACAATCCATTAAACCAAGATCCACTAGATTGGGCCAATTATTTTTATTTTTTAAAACAAGAGGCCAAAACGAAAAGGCCCAATCCACTCTCCGTCTTCCAAACGCTTCAACTGCATTCTCTTGTGCTTCAAGTTTCATCAATGGCTCCCTAATGACAACGGTAAATTTAGGCAAAGTCGGCACGCGTAATCATGCTCTCTCGATGAGTGCTGGCTCCATCAATGTATAAATCACTGTTTAGTGGGAATTGAAATCAGTTTTTTAGTAATTTTGATAAAAATTGATGAAATATGTGATTGAAAAGTTGTGGATTCCACGAAATATATGATTAAAATTAATTGTTAACGTTTACTTATATTAAAATCTAAATTTTAATCCATACCAAACATGGGCATAGTTGTCATTCAGTAAATTCATTTTACATTGTTTTTCTATCCTTGCTCCAAAAATCAAGGAAATGAAACATTTTCAAGTTCATATATAAATAAAATTAAATCATGCTAATTTTTTTTTTTTGTCTTTTCGATTTTTTCCTTGCAGATTTAGATGTCAATAGTGATAGGGCTTCAAAAAAGAGCGCATTAACTTGATCATATATATATTTTCTGATTTTAGAGTTTTGTAATGTCAAATGTAATGTGCTCCAAATTGTTATATATCAATCACCAGGAAGAATACAATTTAGGGCAAAATAAAGGTAAAAACTAAAAATGTGAAAACTGCAGCATATAGAAATAAGCAAACAGTCCAAATGCTAAATAAAATATGAAAATTTTCCATTAGCAATGTCCCGATAGGTTAATTGGGGCGATCCTGGTTGATTTGATGGCCAGGTCACGGGTTTCTTAGTAAAACTGCAATTCAGTCCGAAATTTAAAACATTGATTTTACTAATCAACGTGGATATACAAAATTTGACATCAATGACAAACCCACCAAAGGCCATTCAATGTTGAACTCGAAGCTTTCTATTGCCTAAACGGCTAAACAAATTCCCAATCTCGATTAGCTCAATTTCAAAATAATACCAATCCTATAAATATTTAAATATCACCATACTATTGGTAAAACTAACCAACATAACTTTGACAATCAAAATTCATTGCAATTTTATCATTCCAAACTTTAGGCGGAAAAGTTGAGCAATATTAAAAAATCCAAATATAAAATTTGAAGAAAGAATGTCCATTGAAAGTGAAAGATGGCCAGAGCCATGCAAGGGGGAATGCATTTAGCTACTTGTAGGGCATATCTCACTAAAACACACAACTCCAACAATAAGATTTCGATTTGAAATTATTAATCACCTCCATATTTGCACTAGTTGACAACAACTTTGGTGCTTTTGGATTGATTCATCTCCCCGACAAGCGCATGGAGTAGGATTCTAAAGGCTTGCAAACAATGTAAAATTAATGATTGTAACACTGAACAAAATTTAAGTGTTTTTTTAACAAATTCGAAGTTGGTTATATAGTTTTTGTGATAATCACTCTGATTGATTTGTTGTCATATTTGTTGAAAGTGTTGACGTGCATAAATTATATTCCAATAATAAATATTTTACGTGCACAAAATCGAATAGAATTTTGAATTACAAAAATCAAACATGTAAAGTAAAAACGAGAAATGCATGAATACGAATTCGATCGAGACCCCTTCAAACGATAATGCTCTGCATGGATGCTAACAATTTTTTAGCATTTGTCTTCCATAATACAACAACTACTTCCTGCAATAAGTGCGTCCAAATTACATACACCAACGAACTTACTGAAATTTTGAACTCTCTTAATATGAAACTCTATAAGTGCAAAAATATTTTGAAGTGAATATTTATTAATATGACAAGGTAAGAATGAAATGAATGAAAGGAAATTCCAAATATATAGGATCTATATATAGTGATCTAAAATGTTGAGTCTTATAAGACATAACTTAATGAAAAGGCACGTCTAAAAAGACATGTCTTGTCGAAAAATACATGTCCAAAAAGGCATCTCTAAAATTAAAAAATGTGACTTTTGAAAAATATTATTTAAAAAGAGACAACTCTTCATCCAAAAAAAAAAAAATGAGTTCTACGATGTTCCATAATATTCTACATAATTTTTCAATAATTTAATGTATTTAAGTAGTTTAAATTTGGCTTTAGTTTCTCTTTCACTGACTAACGATTTTAAGTTAAATAGTCAGTTAAAATTGGTTAAAATCAAATTTCTATACAAATTTTTAACAATTCTCCATATGAATGAAAATTAAAGCAAATGACTATGCAAACACTAAAGAGAGTTGAAGCAAAAAGCTATTGCATTCGGGCTACCTTATGTGTTTGAACCTTTTGTAGCGGAAATATTTTCGAACTTACTTTGCTAATCAATGAATGCGATCTCTTGAACTATCAAGCTTTGAAATAAACCAAGACAATATTACTAACACAATACTCACGGTTGTATTCCTATTGGCCCCGATCAACGATTGTGTTTCATAATTGTTTTAGAGAATTCAGGTGCTAAAACATTCTCATAAAAGTATCCCCATTTCATATTTACATGAGTAATCTCCCAATTAAGAGTATCTATCATACTCCATTTGGTTTGTCCTAACTATAGGTATCATTAAAAATTTAACTTATCTTAAAATATTCTTTAGATAGCACTGTTCTTATCAAATGAATGTGTAGGAGTTAACTCTTGAAGTGCTGATTGAATTTTCATAACTTATTTTTTCCCATTAATTAAGATATTGAAATCTCCAATCGGCAACATCTAAAGCTATATCATCTTTTTATTCACAACTATTTGTAGGATTTCTAACGCATACCCGCACTGGCCATAGTAAAACACTTTTACTAATAGATCTCGAATTGTTTCCAAATTCTTTGTTAGAAATATTTTGATTTGGTGAAATAAGCCTATATCATTGCTGGTCAATAGTATGCCATCGACATAAAATGCTAGGAAGATAAATTTACTTCTATTGAACTTGTAATATACACAATCATCAACTGCATTTATCTCAAAACAACCGCATTTACATCAAAAACATACGAGATGATGACTTGATGAAATTTGTAACATCGTTGACGAAAAGCTTATCACCTGACATTAAGCTTTTTGGTTGCACCATATGTGACACCCCGACCTTTAAAATATTAATTAAGCATCTAGGATTGAATAAAATAAAAATGGCTAAATAAAGATTTTTGGTACATGTCTTTTAGTTGTTGATACGTGAGCAAATTAAATTTAAAATTTTACAAAATTTTGATCACATTCACTCTTTAAACACATTAAGGAAACCTATGGTACAAAACGGTATTAAATATAGGCCGTTTACATAATTTCAAAAGAGGATTA